GATTTAACTGAAGAATTATCCAGGGACCCGCCCTGTTTAAGCTGGGCTTTGAGTTTGGGAGTTAACAGAGAAAACCCACGGGTTGTGCAATGTGACTGTAACCATGATATCAATATCCGATTTTCTTATGGGACAATCGTTCGGATGGGACGAAAACCCAAGGTCCCGTGTTCACATCGGCATGCACGTTAAAGATCCCCAGGCAGTTGGAATTCGATATAAGAGTAGACCGTATTGTCGCTGTCCGGGCACAATTTCTCTTTGATCGATAATTCTTCAGTTAAAGGAGCTAAATCGATAATATTTGGGACCTACAAATTGACACAAATGGGTCGCAACGTACATAATAATGTAATATGAATGTAAATAAACTGATTTGCATTCAATCGTTTCCGTTTTTACTCTAATTTCAAAGCAGTTATGTTCGGTGAAATACGCCAGAAGTCTCAATCGAATGGCAATCTCTAGCGTCTGTTTATTCCAGTCTAAACCGATAGTATTTATTGTGCATGCTCTCCAGATAAGAATATGGGGTCTCCGTTTTACATGACTTGTGGAATATGTCTAACCCCGTTCTTCGAGTCGCTTGTTACAAATTGCGCTGAAACGCATTATGGTACACGAATCGTGTACCAATCGTAAAATGTTTATTTTGTCTTAAATATTGGATATCAGAAGCCCATCTTTTCCCGGTAAGACCGGGGGGTTGGATGGCTGAATGGTTAGCGTGCGCGCGCTGTATCATAAAGTCCGTCATTGAGTCGACTGGCGTGGTTTCGAATCCCTGGTTGTATGTGGCAAGGAGTAGGGTCGCCTGTCCAACCTCGTGGGTTTTCTCCGGGGCCTCCGGTTTCCTCCCACTGCTAAAGACCCCTACGCGCAAGCGAATTATGTAAATAAAATTAAACCATATGTTAGTCCCGAAATGACCTAGTTTGTGTCGAGTGGACGTTAAACCCCATTTCTCTCTCTCCCGGTAAGATCACAACACCAATGTTGATTACAATTGACAAATAATTCGTGTTTTCAATTTCGAAGGTTTTGGATGATATTGAGTTAGAGACTTAGCTACTTTAAATCGAAGTTTATCTCGCCAAAATGGCAAGACAGCACAATACTGGATCTTCAATGAGTTACTTTCTATTTTTCACTCGGCAACCGGCTGCAGATTTCACTCGGCCAACTTCGGTTACTCCTCTACACCAAACCATGTTTCCAAACAGAATTATCTTTCCGTGACCCGCAAATTATATTTTTAACTGGTTTGCTTTTGGCGCAATATTCTGATGTTTAGGCTAACACTGTTTTTAACGGCGTCAGCTTCTTATATTTATTGGGCTACAAACACTAAACAGTTGTCTTTTATTTTCTGAGGAGATTTTCTGACCTGGGTAATGTAAATGAAGTTTGTTACTTTATAGTAGGCTAGTATTTGACTAAAACTGCATAAATCAAATCTTAATCATAGATGTAGTGATGTACCGATTGTAAATAATTTTTTTTGCTGACGAAGTCTTTTCTAACTTTTGGGGTAAGACTACTAAGTAGCCTACATTGAAATTAGTGCTAGTACAGTAGAAGTGGTCTTGGCGTCGGGTAATCGATATGAAAACAAGTCTACATTATAATTAGGCCTAGATATCTACCTAGTCCGACTTCATTTCAAGCATTTTATTTATACCCCTTAAGTTGTAGTAGTGACAGTTTAACTACAAGTAAGTACAACAGCAACTAACAGGGGGTCACAGTATCGTGACTCGTGGACTTGTCAGGAGTATAACTTGAGCCTGAGAATGATCAATGAGATACACACAAATGGATAAGTCTGATAATCAGTTAATAAATCAGATGTAACTTGTAAATAAAGGCACTGTATGACAGTGTATGTAGGCCTACATATGATATATATTCTAAATACTAATAAATAGGCCTAGTAGTATTGTTTTATTAATATTACCTATTTATTAATTAATAGGGTTTCAGGTCAAACTCAAAGTTTCAAATGATCAAAACGCTCTATATACCAGTCAATGCGTGGGATGGCACCAAAATAAGTGCTTTTCTGTCATATTTGAGTGACGTCATGAGTCATAAGCGGTATTTTCCCTTCAGAATCGCTATACTGGCTAGGCTCTATATAGTACCAATTTTAAAACTGAATGAAATCCGCACGTTATTGTCAGCTAAGATTTATTAAAATCATAATTATATATTATAGATCTAATTTCAAATATTATACTTAACTAATAGAATCAATTAAGCTTTTACTATCTAATATGGTCGAAGCTCAGGTCCTAAAAACGCCTTTAATTTATGGTTTCTGTTATTCTTAAATAGATATTGTTAGGGACCTCATGCTGGAGGTTCGGTCGCATGATCATTTAATGTTCGAATTCTATACAAAATTGTAAAGTCTGAAGTTAGTATCAATGTAATTTGCTTATCTGGTCAACAAAGGTCCATTTACATTGATTTTGATGGAAAATTAGATCTGAATTACATATTACATATTTAAAGTTTATATTTCTTGATTATAAAGGTAGAATTTGAAATTATTTTCTCAGTGTTTTAAATGGGTTGGTTTTTTTTTTTGATGGCTTTGACCATTAAATTGAAAAAAATCAATGAAATGGACCTTTGTTGTGGTGTGGATAGGCTTGGGTGTAGGGGTGCCGGGAGCCCAAGTAGTGTCGTTAAAAAAGTATTAACATTAGTGTTACTTTACTCTTATTTTATGAAAGTTTTTTTCGCAAGTTGATTTCCTTTATTTTTTTAATGTAGAATGGTAATGAACTGCTTTTTTCCTTTTCTTTGCTTTATTTGTTCCGTTTGAATTTGATTTATCTGTTTAGTTTTTGATTGTTTAATTATTGTTTTTGCTAATTAAGTTGATTCTTTTAAACTTTGTTTTTATTTTTATACGTCCGTCGTCCACAATTTCTTGTGAACGCTCTAGAGACTAAAGTTAATATCTGATATTTACTGCCAGAGTTATAGCCCTTGATCACTTTGATAAATCTTGTGAACGCTCTAGAGGCTAAAGTTAATATCCAATGGACTCCAAATTGTTACACAGTGTGTAAGGTCATGAGACGAAGAAGCCTAATGATTTTCAGCGATATCCGATAATTACTACCAGAGTTATGGCCCTTGATCACTTTGAAAAATCTTGTGAACACTCTAGAGGCTAAAGTTAAAATCCAATTGACTTTAAATTTATACACAGTGTTTAAGGTCATGAGACAAGACGCCTATTGATTTTCAGCGAGATCTGATGATTACTGCAAGAGTTATGGCATTGATATGTGAGAGACATCAGTTTAAAGTCGATTCTGGTTATTATAATCTAATGTGTGAACTTTGTGTTGATTTTACCAGCCTGTAATTGTGGTATCATAATTAATTGTGATTTTAACATTTTTTTTAGTTAACTATATTAAATGAATTCCAAATGTACGTGTTGGCGAGGGGGTACATTAATAATTATATGTTTTTGTAGTACATGTTCCTTGTTTTATAATAAAACTACGCCCTTTCATTTTTCAGAAGAAAAGTATAGAAAATATTTCCAATTATCTATCTTGAGGTAAATCAGTTTATTATTTTCATTAACAGTTCTTATTTTTGTAAATTTTTATGTAAATCAACTACTTGTCATTGGAGTGCATCTCAAAATTCACTTTCCTTATCTACATAAAGTTTATGTAATAAGTTATAGTGTGTAAATTTGAAGTAAGTTCATATGTTTTTTTATTAATTATTTACAGATCACAGAGATTGAATGCTGCAGGTCTTGTGTTTAGTGTATAGACTAATTGGTGGATGTTATTAACATTAACCTTTTAGCAAAGGTTAGCTTGATGATGTTACTGACTTTGCAGTGTAGTGGAAGATGTTAACCTAACTTTGGTAGACAACAAGCCTAACCCTGAAGTCAACGATGTACAATATGTCAGTGTCACTGTTCCACTACCAAACGTAACGCGAATATAAACAATACTTACGGGTACATGTATTTACTTTGATTGAAATGAGGTCAACTTAAAAATTTGTGTAGATGTGTTATTTGTTGTAACAGTTATATCCATAAAAGTTATATCCATAAAATGTAAATTGTATTTTCTCTATATTAGTATAACAGATTAAACGAAATAAGATTATTTCACTCATGACTCGTAGTCACCCACCATCGTAGAAGTGTCAACATATCGAGAACACGCATTCATGAACCATGATTAGTTGGGACAAATTAATAATGAGGAATACTGTTTTCAAAGGCCTTAAGACAGGAAAGTGGTTATTGGTCACAACATTCATGTGTCACTGCAGGGGAGGGGGTGGAGTCAAATGATAATGCATTCGTGTTGGATAATAAGGTCTGTCATTTAGTGAAGAGGCTTAGCTTCGTTTCCAAGAGTAGGGTCGACTGCATTCCCACTGTTAAGATTTCGAGAAACAGGGCCCAGATTCTCACATCAGATACTTGAACCACAGAAAAGGTTACCTTTCAGAAAATTGGCTCTGTAGCCTAAAACTGAATCACCTATATCTCGGTTCAGAGCAAAGCAATCTGACTGAAATTTCAGCATTTTCTGTTTCTATTATTTATTGTTGAACTATTATAGCGAGAACTGTCAGCTCTTATCTAATCTTACCCAATGGCGCCAATGCCCCTTTAAAATGCCCCTTATAAATCTGGTTTAAAATCCAAATATTTGTCTAAACTTTAGACAGACCTTATGATCTACTAGTATATTCTCCAGTTGGTCAATTTCACTGCAAGTCAGTCAAAACGGCCAAACATGACTGGCGAAAATAAGACAAATAAGGTTGGAAGTACCTTCAAAACAAACCATGGCACTTGAATCAATGACAGACCTTATGATCTAAAGCATACATCAGACCACTCAACCACACAACTGGTAAAGACTTTAGACAAATATTTGGATTTTAAATTAGAAACAAAACCATACTGTTGAAGATGTAATTGAGACAAGACATTAGACTAGCACTTATATTTATTAGCAAAAAAAAGCCAACAATTTGATTGGTTTTAGTGCTTAGCCAATCAAAATTGAAATTTCTACTAAAATTTGGATTTGATCTTAGTTAAAATTTCCCTACTTTTAAGTTCTGGTAAAATGTCCTTATGTATCGGAAGTTCTGATTTGTCGACTTAACGAAAGCGACCAGACTGTCCACCGTTGGCTTTGAGAAATGCGACAATTTTGATCGGTGACATACTTTGCGTTACAATGGTGTACATCTGATTTCTAGTGGAATGATTTATAAAGCGAACTGGAACGGGGAGGTTATACAGTAAGCCGTTAATCTGGCGTGTGATATGATGAGGGAAAGCAGGTCCAAACAGTAGATCTTTTAGCATTTTAACTTTTATGAATTCGTCTAGTCGTGCCTGGGCAGCTTTTAAAATAAATCTATCAGCATGACGGTAATGTGGTTTTCTAGGATATTTCTTCTTAGCCTGTGAATCTGTTACTTCTTCCTTCATTTCAACATCTGTGTCACTGGTCTCAGTTTCTGAATCAGTTCCCTCAGCTGTAGTAGCTGTAACGTTTTCTCCTGCATCCTCGGCAGCTTTCTTCAACACCTCCGCTTCTTTAAGCAACGTATCAAAACTGACAGATTCTATCGCTTGATCAGGTTTAGTGTAAGCAGAAACCTGGAATGAAAAACGATTTACTAAGACATGATATCTAGGTTAACTTTAAATAATGGCATTCATCAATTAAAGGTCAAATCTGTGCCTAGCCAGGAAGGCATTTTTATGTGCAATACAAGAGCAGAACGAAAACCAAGGTGGCTCAGTACATGAGGTGCCAGCTCTGTGGATAAGCCATCGGCTCAGGGGTTAAGCCACCAGCTCAGTTGGTAAGACAATGTCTCAGTGGGTAAAGACCCACCTCTGTGGGTAAACCGCTGGCTCGGTGGGTTCTGACTCGGTGTGTAGGACACTGGCTCATTGATAAGAATCTGTTTTTAATCTGGCCAATGAAGTTCCTCAGGTTTTTCCAGCCTTTTTTCGTCTTGTTGCAAGGGCAAGATGGACTGGACAAGAAAAAAGGTCCCTTGTATAGCCATTGGCAGCATGTTGACGGAACGGGAAAAAAATGCACGATACTGGACATGAGATTCTACTCCTTGTCACATACAAGCTTGGCTCAAATTGATTCAAGGACATATCTTATGATCTAAAGGGCATGCATTAGACCACTAGACCAGCCCACCCATATATCAATCTTCTGGTGTTGTCACAGGATAACCCTGCTCAAGGGACAGGAACGTTGCTTCAGTGAAAGGGTGTAGAAATGCAATGCTTGGCTAAATTGGTTTTTATACGCCCACACTGAAATGTGGACGTATATTGCCGTCGCCCCCGTCCGTCCGTCTGTCGGTACGTCCGTCGGTCCGTCCGTCCATCGTCCACAATTTCTTGTGAACGCTCTAACGCCAAAAGTTATCATCCAATTGTTTTAAAATTGATATATGTTGTTTTCATTAGTGAGATGAAGAAGCCTATTTAATTTCAATAACTTCTGTTTATTACGTCTAGAGTTATGGCCCTTGTTTCACTTTGTTGAACCTTGTGAACGCTCTAATGCCAAAAGTTAACATACGATCTTTGTGAAATTTATATGCAATATTTATGTTAGTGAAACGAAGAAGCCTATTGAATTTCAACAATTTCTGTTTATTACGTCTAGAGTTATGGCCCTTGTTTCACTTTATTGAACCTTGTGAACGCTCTAACTCCAAAAGTTATCATCCGATCTTTCTGAAATTTACATGCATTATTTAAATTAGTGAAACGAAGAAGCCTATTGAATTTCAGCAATTTCCGTTTATTACGTCTAGAGTTATGGCCCTTGTTTCATGTTATTGAACCTTGTGAACGCTCAAACGAGAAAAGTTATCAACCGATCTGTATGAAATTTATATGCATCATTTAAATTAGTAAAACAAAGAAGCCTATTGAATTTCAGCAATTTCCGTTAATCATCTAGAGTTATGGCCCTTGTTTCACTTTGTTGAATCTTGTGAATGCTCTAATGACAACAGTTATCATCCGATCTGTTTGAAATTGATATGCATGATTTAAATTAGTGAAACGAAGAATCCTATTGAAGTTCAGCAATTTCCTTTAATTACGCCATGAGTTATGGCCCTTGTTTCACTTTGTTGTACCTTGTGGTTGCTTTAACGACAAAAGTTATTATACGATCTGTATGAAATTTAAAGGTATCGTTTAAATTAGTAAAACGAACAAGCCTATTGAGTTTCAGCAAATTTCCGTTAATTACATCTAGAGTTATGGCCCTTGTTTCACATTGTTGAATCTTGTGAACGCTTGAACGACAAAAGTTATCACCCAATCTGTATGAAATTCATATGCATCATTTAAATTAGTGAAATGAAGAAGCCTATTGAATGTCAGCAATTTCTGTCAATTACTTCTAGAGTTATGGCCCTTGTTCTACTTTGTTGAATCTTGTGAACGTTCGAACGACAAAAGTTATCATCCGATCTGTATGAAATTGATATGTATTATTTGAATTAGTAAAACGAAAAAGTCTGTCGAATTTCAATAATTTCTGTAGATTACTTCCTGAGTTACAGCCCTTATTTTAGTTTTTAGAACCTTGTGAACCCTCAAACGACGAAAATTATAATGTCATCTGTATGAAGTTGTCTATTAAATGCCCCCTAATTACCTACAAAAGAACAAATATACGACAACTCTTGTCGACCGCTCGGACGATTTAGCTGCTGTGGGCGTATGTTTAGTTGCCTGGCAACCTATCTTTATATAATGTAGGCCCTATTTAGCTCAGGAATCCATAGCCCTAAAGCTAATTCAAGTATTCAATAGAATAACTTACCTCTATGACTGGTTGTGTTTCGTAGAGCTTAAACAAGATATCAGCTGCTGCAAAATTTCTAGAGCCTATCTTACTAAGAGACACTGCAGGTTCGGTTCCAACATCTTCCTTCTGTATCTTCATCTGACATCTTAAAGTAAAAAAAGAGAGAAATGGGGATTAACACTCACACAAAACAAACCAACATTTTTGGACTGACACCCAGGAGGTTTGACTCAATGAAAGATCTTATGAGCTTGGACCACTCAACCACCCCTAAAAACAAAAGAAGAGTAACAAGCAAACTGAACATTTCAAAATTTTGATCAATGGGACAAGACTAGATCTTAAAGCTACAATTTCATATTTGTTAAGTTATATTTTTAAAATTTATTAAAATAAAGCCTTAAAATAGATGGTATCCATACACAGTCCTACCTTGTTAAAGAATAATCCTATTAATCCTATAATTCACTATTGCCAGCTGCGAAATTGGCAAAATTATCATTTTCGAATTCCAACATTTGAAGATAGCTAATGCATGGAGGCAATAGGAAAACAAGGGAGGTAATTGTGTTATTATTTCCTGTGTCAATGATTTTTAAGGGTGGGAAATAATGCCCATAGTCGTATAATAGTGAGTTGATAACCTATTGAGCAAAAGATATAGAAATAATTATGTTTTGACTTTCATAGAAAATATGAAATTCTGGCTTGAAGGCTAAGGCCAGGAAACACAGCCTAAGTCTTACAGTTAAGGCCGGAAGACGCAAGACTACAGTAGGTCTTAAGAGATTCAAGACTAGGTCTTAAGAGACACAAGACTAGGCCTTACAGTTGAGGCCAGAAGATACAAGACTAAGCCTTACAGTTGAGACCGGAAGACACAAGACTAGGCCTTAAGATTATGGCCGGGAGACAACATATTGTTGACAAAACATGAATGTTGTAAAATATAGAAACCTTGAACTTTACGATCTACTATCCAACTGACGTCCTCAAAGACAACGATATCCTTGGCTGGTAGTGTTGATATAGGTTTTCGGGTCCATTGTAAGCGATGAAGATTCGAACAGTTATCTTCCAAAATGCAGTTGCCCTTGACACGAAAGTCGATAACATCTGTTGCTGCTTGGTCGTGTGGTTGAAGTTTACTGTGTTGGGGGAGGATGAACTCGGGGTCACAGTTCGTGAAACTTATCGGGCTTTAGAGTAAGCGTCTGCTTGGGCATCTGTTCGGTTCTCTGCTTCACCAATCATGATGAGATGACCAGCTAGATAGAGGTTACAGAAAATTTTCTCCTTTTCTATTTCTGTGTTCATGCTACGACGGTATAGACAAATGGGCGTCAATTTTACATCGTTGAAAATTCCATCCAAGACAGTAATGATGGATGCAGGATGCGTGGCACTGCTAAGTTCGTTCATTTTGACAAACTGTTCACGGAGATCAAATGCCCTAGGATTTGGTGCTGCCTTTACCAAAGTGCTCTGAACCTGTGCTTCTGCTTCTGTTATGACAGACTGTTCGACACCATCTAAGATGTTGCCATGTTCAACATTCATGGTGGTCAGTCGTTCAACCACCATATTATAACACAATGACTTAGCAGTTTTTTTGGAAACTGAAACACCTGCACCTTGTAGTATGTTGTCAATAAAGTACATTCCCTTATGATAAACTTTCCCTGATTCAGCTTTACAACTCTCTACATCATATCGACAACGGACTCGACATTTAGCCACAGAGGCCGCCAACTCCATTTTGCTGACTGAATTGGTTGAAGCATATTTAGGATTGGTTAGAATATCTTGGATCTGTTTCAAAATAGATGGTGGGGGTAACTCTGCAATTGTTTCTTTCTCCATCTTAGCAACGGTCGAGTTAAAATTCTCCAGTTTCTCCTTGATAACTTTTGGGGTCATATCATCCTGGTTCAAAATTTCAGTGACAGGAAGGGTACGATAAAGTTCCACCGCCTTCTTGAAACATGACAGTTTGATTTCTTTCTTGTTGATGCCGATAGCTCTGGCTAGGAACACACCACCCAGATTAAGTCGGCCAGTGAAAAAGGATCCGTTCTTTCCTTGTACCATGCCATCGATCAAAAAATCTGGTCAAATTCCAACTTTACAACTCATCAGAGAATTCTCAAACAACTAAAATGAAATAAAATAGGATTTAATGGGAAAGAGAGGAAAATGGGCTTTATTGTTCACTCGACACTAGGTCATTTCGGGACTAACATATAGTTCATTTTATTTCATTAGGGGTCTTTAGCAGTGGAAGGAAACCCTGAGGACATGGAGAAAACGCACGAGGTTGAACAGACGACCCTACTCCTTGTCACGTACAAGCGGGTAATGACGCATTAACGCTTCGACCACCCAAACTCGCCCAACTGGTCTTATGTAGATGGGCAAATAAAAGAATTTTATACGTAATACATGCTTGAATAAAAATAAAAATAAAAATAAAGCAGAATCTGTGTTTTTAATGAGATTATTGTGAAAAATATTAAACATGCATTATGCAAGAGCTAAACCTGTCAATTTCAGGTCTTTCTTTAGGCCTGAAATCTTATCTAAATTATTAATTAGACATTAATTAACTTATCCAGACCATAATAAACTCCCGATGTCAAGGCTAGCCTTCGATGTCGACTGGATTACAATTCTATATGTTGCTATCGCTCATTGATAATTAAATCACAACAATAGACAATCGAGACTATTAGTTTCGAGGCTAGGCGAAACTTTCATCCGCTTAGTTTTCGGTTCATAGTGGACCAATTTGACTGACATTTTCAGCAAATTCCCTTTACATTATGTAGTTTTTAACTATTATAGTGAGAACTGCTAACTCGTTATCTTATCTCCATCTCCCATAATGTATCTTTAATAAATAAAACCTCACCATAATTTCATTGATTACTTTTTTTTCACTTCGTAAAAACATTGAAAGTCGTCGAATTTTTTCTGCTAGCGGCAATTTTGTGGCATCGATTGGTTCTGGGTTGGGTGTTTTGTGTACAGCGGCAGCAGGCAGACCTTTGTTATCAATGGGGCGTGTCTGGCAGCCTGGTAATGTTTCCCATTTCTTCTCTGTAAATAAACCATTAAAAAATGTAGTTTGTTAAAGCTGCATTTAGTAACTGTATTGAATAAACCATGACTAATATACCGGTGTATTAAATACAAGTTTTTTCACAGTTCATTTCTGACGACGTCTTGAAAAGTGTTCTCTTGTATTTATCAAGCCACAAACAAAATAAACTTCTAAATAACTTGTATTCTGAATATTGTTTAGTGCCCAGGTTCACTTTGCTCATTTCTGTTGATCAGCGGCTGGGGAGGGGGGGGGGAATAGGTTTTACATTTAGATTCAGAACGAACATGATTCTTCTACAGCCATCCTTTTTACAGTGGTTACAACTTAAACATACAGGTTTCAAGTTTAACTGACTACCATGACTAGAGAATAGAATAACGTGATTTATCAACGAATTAACAGAATTTTAAAACAAAATTAAAAGCTTTTGAGCAGTAGTACGGTAAAAATTATGTGTGTCAAAAAGATAAGCACCACCGTTTAAAATGAGGTCTGTTTGATATTTAACCATCAACAATAAATTCAGATGGTTTTTATTTGGAACCATGTAATATCCATCACAAAATACTTCCAGCATAAGTTTTGCCACTCCAAGAAGAATAGTGTCAGGTTCCTTTGGTACCATGGTACTAATCAAACAAGAGGTGTTGAGGACGTGATCCAAGTGAGAGAGGGGGGGGGGGGGTTGGATGGCTGAATGGTTAGCTGTATCATAAAGTCTGTCATTGAGTCAACTGGCGTGGTTTCGAATCCCCGGTTGTACGTGACAAGGAGTAGGGTCGCCTGTCCAACCTCGTGGGTTTCCTCCGGGTCCTCCGGTTTCCTCCCACAGCTAATGATCCCTACGCGCAAGCGAATTATGGAAATAAAATTGAACCATATGTTAGTCGAGTGGACGTTAAACCCCATTTCTCTCTCTCTCTCCAAGTGAGAGAGGGATACACATGACGATGGTTATCACTACTCTTGTCTGTAATCCTCATCCTTTTCCTGACCAGATCATCTAATGGACTCCTATATTTTTCGAAATCCTCAATTAAAAAATATCTATTACTTAAATGACCAAATATTCCTGTCTTGTTTTACTTTAAGGTGGTCCTTAACCTTTTGTCAGTTGTATTTATTTTTATAACTTACTTGCACCACCGGCACTGTTTGCGGGAGTTCCAACACCTCCTATAGAATTCAACTCATTGTTAAAAATATAATTTGCGGGTCACGGAAAGATAACTCTGTTTGGAAACATGGTTTTCGTGTAGAGAAGTAACCGAAGTTGGCCGAGTGAAATCTGCAGCCGGTTGCCGAGTGAAAAATAGAAAGTAACTCATTGAAGATCCAGTATTGTGCGGCAAGACACGGAGGCATCCATTTTGAATATGACGTCAAACTTTCAGCTGCCTGGATTAGGGGGTTCGGTTCTTGACGCCGTATCTTGTCACATTGTTTGCCCAACGTGAGTGTCGGAGTGCTTCTTCACTCCGACGAAAAACCGAGGTTCTGTGTACATATTGGCAGTTGGAATTCGATATAAGAGTAGGCCGTAGCGCCGCTGTCCGGGCAAAATTTCCCTCATAGCACACTGTATGGCCTATGTCCGTCTTCATTAGCCCAGTTTAGTAGCAGAACAGTAGGACGTTAAACCCCATTTCATTTCATTTCATTTCTTCTCTCCGAAAAAACTCATAGCGACAACCTGGCCTTGGGTATAGCTACGTCTCGAGGGCCACCCATCGAAAGGCGGTGGTAGTGTAGAGGGATGTGCAACGCTTAATCAGTAACTTCTACCATTACACTAACGAATGTGTAAATATGTATTTAGAATAGAAAAGAACAAAATAGAATTTGATTGCATCGGAACGCCCTTTTAGGGCGACCATATACAAAATGTAAAGATGAAAAAGTTTTACACGGGAATCAATTTACAGACAGACAATACAAACCATACATACAGTATACATAATACAGAAAATAAAAACAGGACTAAAAAACAACATGCCCGCTTAAAATATATATATATATATATTGTGTTCGCAAATCTTTATACTTTTCGCATTCCATAAGAAAATACTGTTCTGATTCAGTTTTATTTGTACCGCGGGAGAACAAACGTCGAGTCGAAGCGGTCGGAAAAAGCCGACGGTTACCGATTGGGGTCAAGGACGTTGAATGACAGCGATAGGCCGACCAAATATTTTTATTTTCCTTTTGCGTGAAAAAAAGTTGAATGATAGCGATAGGCCGACAAATATTTTTATTTTGCTTTTTACTTTTACTTTTGTTTTACATTTCAAATTACTTTTAAAAATGATTTTAGTTTTCATTTGTGTTTGGATTTTAATTTACATTTTGGTTTTACTTTTATTTTTATTTTTGCTTTTGATTTAATTTTTAGTTTTGATTTAACTTTTGCTTTTGGTTGAACTTTTCAAATTACTTTTAAAAATGATTTTAGTTTTCATTTGTGTTTTGATTTTAATTTACATTTTAGTTTTACTTTTATTTTTGCTTTTGATTTAATTTTTAATTTTGATTTAACTTTTGCTTTTGGTTGAACTTTTGCTTTTAATTTACTTTTGATTTTGCTTTTCATTTTCATTTCATTTTATTTAAGTTTTTAAAGAAATTTTGTTAAATCCTGAATGATAACCATAGGCCACCATACAGGCCTGAGATAGGATAAGGTTTTATTGACTAAAACATCCATTTTTGTATAGGCGGGGCAAGTTATAGACAACATCATACTCAAATTCATCAACGATTCAATATGGCTGTCTCAGGGAAGTTCCTCAGAGTGATATCTTTAACTAGTGCGTTTCAGTGGTGGGACAATAAATAGATTTTTTTTTATTAAAATCCTACAATACAAAGTGGTAATATGGGCGAAATGTTCCGAAAATAACAAATTTTCACATAATACCAGCAATTTTTTCAAAATAGCTGCCAAATTCGGTAATAAAATGGCGCTGTCCCCATATATAACCAGTCACTATCTCGTAAGATATGACTTTGTCTTTTGTATGGTTTTCGATATCTCTGGATTTAAAAATGAATTATGACAATCCAACATATTAGAAATTCAAAATGGCTACCAAAATGGAATCCAAAATGGGGGATTTTAAATTAATCGTTATTTTTCCCTTTTGGATACGACTTGAAACATGTAACATGCCTTTCACATGTCTTAAGAATTTGCGCCCTAATATTAGATCAAAAATGGTTACGCGGTCTGTGATTACAGCCCTTATGGTATCAATTCCAGGGATATTGATTGAGAAGAGTATGGTAGTTTCAAGGGTTTCTAAACTAGTTAATGTTATTGCGTAATTTGGAGTCCCCTGTTAGTCATGAATTATGTTGTTTTTGAAAAATTAAGAATGCCACACGTTAAATATGTGCATAAGCTAGAAACACCATGATATATCATAGAAAATAGCATTTACATACAGTTTTTAAAAAAGAATTTTTCTCCCGTTTGGAGAGACCCCCCCCCCCTCCAACATAGTGTGGGAACCCCTAACGGAGCAAGGATTAGGACCCCCATATAGTCCGCCCCTGGTATCTCATAGACCGATAGTAACCCACAAGGTCATTTAAGAAAATCACATTTAAACAATATTGAAAAATGGACTACACCCGTCGCACCCCTCGAACTAAAAACAAATTAATTATTGGAATTTTCGATGAAACGGAAAAGTTAGTTCCGCATAAGAATTAGCGTAAAAGAGTCAAATACAATTTGTAGAACTGGCTACTTTGATGTTAGTGAACCCATTTCACACAAAATCTTTTTTTACTATCCAGACGGACCTTCAGTATAATAATCTATCTGCATACAAAGTTTATGAAAATACACATCTAAACAACATTTAAATATGGTCTACCACCTGTAGGACCCTCCCTTTAACCTAAAATTAAATTGTTTGTTTGAATTTTCGATTAAACGTAAAATTCTGGACTAAATATATCAGTTGTTAATTTGTAACATGTTTAACACCATATCTTCCTACGCGATATAACAATAAATTGTTCATTGGATAAAACAGAAATATCAAAATACCTGTAAAATAATATAACAATTAATTTATATGATAAGTTAACGCCAGTTAACGTCTACCATGAAATACGGAAATTTGCAACACATTTTAACACCATATCTTTCTTCGCGACCTAACAATAAATTGTTCATTGGATAAAACGGAAATTTTTTTTAAAAAATATAACTGTAAAATAATATACGAATTATCATTTTATATGGCGTATTCTTTACTGATAATTAAAGTAATCAAGTAATGCGGGAATTTGAAACACGTTTTAACATCCCCCCCTCCCCCCACCCTTTTCAGAGATGGAAAGTTCAAAGTTCATGAACCTGTCCTCTCGAGAAGTTCCCACATGGGATCCCGGTGTGGTTCTCTCCTTACAAAAGACGTATTACAAGCCATATCAATCTGGAAAAAATGATGTTAACTTAAAATCCGCTATTTTTGGGTCCATTTTTAATTTCTGCGATGTTGGATTTTTTAAATTTAACTTTAAATTCAGAGACATCGAAAACCATATAAAGGACATAGTAAGGGTCATATCTTACGATATTTTTGCTGGTTATATGGGGAAAATGCCATTTTGCGATTAATTAAAATCCGCCATTTTGGATTTCATTTTGGCGGCAATTTGGAATTTCTACCATCAAGGATTCTCGACATTAAATTTATGTCACAAGTCATATCCAACAGGAATAAACGACGATTAACTTAAAATCCGTCTTTTTGGATTCTATTTTGGCTACCATGTTGGACTTTTGAAATTATCTTTGAATTCAGATACATCGAAAACCATATAAAGACACAGTAATAGTCACATATTACGAGATTCTCGCTGGTTGTATGCGGGAAAAGACCTTTTTATTATTAAATTTGGCAGCCATTAGCCGTCCATGTGAAAAATACGGAACATTTCGCCTCTATAACTACTTTTTGTTTGAAGAATATAAAAACAATTTATTCTCCCACCACTAAAACACACTGGTTACGAGATATCGCTCTCCGAAACTTCCAGAAGACCGCCATGTTGAATTATGTTAATTACGTTATTTCGCTTTGGCCGAATTTGAGCATGATGTTGTCTGACACATGTATCATTGAACCAAACTGCATTGGTTTAATTATTTTGCAATTTGTTTTGTTAAAACGTTATCCCTCCCCGGCTAATATACGAAAGCCCGAAAGGCTCATTCCAAATTCCAAATTCCAAATTCTAAAATTCCAAATTCCAAATTCCAAATGCGAAATCCAAATTCCAAATTCCAAATGCGAAATTCCAAATTCATGTCTTACCAATGAACTAGCAAATTGGCAGCCCCCTTCCCCCCCCCCCCCCCAATTAAACAAATTAGAATTTAAATAAATTGTAATTTTACACAACTAATTATGCGACATTTATCTTCCCCCCAGCTGCTATGATGATTGTAATGTCACGTGATTATGTCGAATTTGGAATTTGGAATTTCGCATTTGGAATTTGGAATTTGGAATCTAGTAATTTGGAACGGGTGTTTATCCGGCCCAGGCATCAGATAGGTAAACTAGCACTAATTAGTTGTGTAAAAGTTCAATTTATTTAAATTCTAATTTGTTTAATTGAGGGGGGCTGCCAATTTGCTATTTTATTGGTAAGATATGAATTTGGAGTTTTGAATTTCGCATTTGGAATTTGGAATTTTAGAATTTGGAATTTAGAATGAGCCTTCTGGGCTTTCGTACTAATACCCCATTTCAATTTGAAGTGAGTGGGAATTATGTCGGAATGCAGTCATGGCTAGTTTAAAATAAATTCTTATTATGTACATAAAGGCGACATTCAGCAGGGTTATATAGATTTTGGTTTTAAATAAGCCGCGAGTACAAAGCTTTTGTAGCTTTCAGTGGGTTGGAGTGGCACGATTCGGTGAAACGGAGTTGAATTTGGATTGACGTGATGATTTGATATTTATTTTATATTGAAATAATTTATTACGTGTGTTATAGAGACAGCTAGTCCACGAGAGATTAATATTGGAGTTAGCTATTTTAATAGCGTCATTATATTATGCCTCAGCCAGTAACGGGTTAGATTCTTTTATGTCAGCCGTCTTCATTAGCCCAGTTCGGAGCAGAACAGTAGGGCGTTAAACTCCATTTCATTTCTTTTGTCAGGTTGGGTGTCTGATAGAAAAACAAGCTTTTAAATGAGTTGTTATTTTGTTATGTAAA